CTCACATCCACTCTTTGGTCTCCAGAAACATTAAGCAAGCATTGAAATGTCAGTGGGTGCTGTTTTTTCTGCATGGAGGATTTCAGTGACACACCTTTGCTTCATGAACACCTCCATGTTCAACACCGTTCCATCAGACTGTCCCTCTGCTGCCATCTGTCACACAGCAACAAAATGTACTGGAATATTAGCAGGAAGGTTCACCTGCTATTGCTGTATCATCAACTGTGTCTGATGTCAAGGGCCATCTTCATCAAATTTCAGAGCAGCCTTCGTACATGGCTGGTAACGCAGATCATAGACAACACACAGAGCACTCCCATGGCAGAGCAGGATGGAGGTTCACTAGCAACGGAATGTATATGTATATGTAAATGTATACATATATATATGCATGTGCGTGATGTGGATCCCTGTCAGCTCAGAACAGTCACAAACTGCCTGACAGCTACTCCTGGGCATGCTCTTCCCAGCTGCTGGCACCTGGAGGAACCTGTGATGCCCCAGCCCCATTTTAGCAGGTACAAACCATTTCTACAGAGACAGGCACATAGATGGCCAGGACTTTTCTGGCTATCCATAGTGAAATTCCCCTTGGAGATACTCCTTGCTCCCAGACTACCTAACCTATTTGCCAGTTGGCCTTGCTCGAACTTCACCAGTGCATTCTCTGCACCTCTTCCTCCACATCCTATCACATGTCCAGCATTCCTACTGAGTCCAAAAGCATCGGCCCATAGGGATTAGTTTCAGACCAGGATAGTAGGGCTGAGGTACTTCTGAGAGAGGCCAGGAGCTAGTGTCTCTTCTTCTGAATCCTTAGTTTGTGTTCCTGCCTGTCTGTGCTCCTCTGTGCTTGTGTAGGTACATGTCTGACGGGCCAATGGCTCCTGGGATAGGCCTGTGAGTAGCCAGGGCCAGGATATTCTTTGGGCTCTTCAGTCTTCCATTGCTTCCTTGTGCTACTTCGTGAATATGTAGATGAGTTTTTATCACATAACTTAACACTAACAAATGAGCCTGTACAACAGTAACTTCACAGTGGTGATGCTCTGTGCTAGTGACCTTGCCTTGCAGCACTGCAGCCACACATCTGACTGGAGTGTTTGTGAACCACACTCCATCACGCTGTGTAAATACACTCAGCATGCTCCCTGCACACACACACACACACCACAGGTGCCCGGACAATCATTTGAAGTTCTTGCATTTTCAGAGGTTTCAAAGGTTAGTCTCCTCCTTTATTTTTCTGAAACGTTTGTTCTTTTGTTGTTGTTTTCAGTATCCCTACTAGGAACGAGTTCTTCATTGAACTGATTATTTTGCAGAGCTCAAGCAGAGTCTAACCTGAGAATAGGCACGTGCCTTTGAGCTCAAACCTGTCATACAGCATGCTGCAATTTAGATCTTTTACAGACTGTTTCACTATGCTTGGTAATAGCTATAAATGACAGTCGGGATGGGCTTTTTTGCCAGACTTGGAGGAGGTTGTGCTTGACAATAGTGTCTTGAGTCTTTATAATTGTGTCACCATTTTAAGAATTGTAATACTCACTTTGAAACCTGTATGCTCATTAAAAATGAGGTAACAGTAGATAAATGGCTTTGCCTAGGCAACACTGCTTTTATTCTCTCCAGTAAATGACAGAAGTGGCAGCAATACAAAATCCTGTTGAACACTATTCATCAAATAAGCAATATTGGGAATATTTCTGGAAGAAAAATATCTTTTTTTCTTTCTGAACTAGTGAGAATTACAAGGCATTTCCTAGAAGCGGAAATAGGATTTTCATATAAGCAGTGAGCACTGTTTAACACTTCCTTTTCTTCAGGCTTTGTTTTAAACAAAGTGTGATTGAAAAACTGTCTTTTGAGCATTTTCTTCAGACAGGATTTCAGTCCATCAAACAAAGCAAAAAGCGTCCATCTTATCTTTGATAATCTTCTGTCATGGTAGTCCAAGATGCCTTTTGAGATTTATTGATGTAACTTTACATTATTTTGAACAATTAAAGCAAAATACAGTGCTGTTTTAGGATGAAAACAAAGCTTTGCTTTACTTAGCATTCAGCAAGTACTTATTTTGATAAAGATTATGGCAGAATAGTACAAGGAGAAAAAGTCTTATGTTGATCACTGAAAGTAATGGATCATTGAATTCTTGCATTAATCTGTCCCTCCGGTGTCTATACTTTATAAAAATTCAGGTATGTTGCAGATTGTCTGCATACCATACAACTAGAATGTGAAAGATTTACAGGGTAAATTACTGTTGACATGCACCAGGGCAGTGAGACTGAGCAAGAATTTTTGTATTCAGCTAGCTGCATACATCAGCTTTGCCTTTTCATATCTTAAATCTTCCTGAGGCTAGAGTTCTTTACAAGGACAATGTTTTGTGTTTTGGATTAATCAGAAGCCTCAGTCATTTGAAAGGATATATACGTAAGGAACAGCAGAGCCTCTTTTGTAAATGACCTCTGTGTTGGCTTTTGTGGAGAATTGTGGGCAAAAAAAATCCACAGAAGCCATTAGTGGGAATGTATGTCGAAAAGAAAACGTAACAGTGATAAGCCTATTATACTCTTTGAATCCATGCTCCTGCTGATGTGGGATTGAGTGGGGATATATTTGTCTGATTTTCGCAGTCAGATGTATCTTTGCACTACGGAGTCCTTTGCACAACATGAGCCCTTGGAATCATTATCAAAGACAAGATCTCTTTTCCTGTTGCTTAAAAAAAACCCCGCAACTAGATGAGATGTTAGAAAACCAGATAGATATGTCTGAGAATAAAATAAATGGCCTTGGTAATGAGAAGCATTTGAATGCACAGGTCCATAATTCACAGAATGAAAAATCACAGCTGGCTTTAGTAAAATGAGGTGTTTTATATTCTGGAGAAGGTTAAGTAGAATGGAAGTCTGCAAAACAAGGTTAAATGAATTCTCTTTGCATTCATGTGAAAATATTCTCCAAGACATAATTCTTCATTCATCAGTTTATGATATTTCACATTTGCAGATGTGGTGGTTTTCTCAGTGATGGCCACTAAGCTGCTCTCTCACTCTCCCTTCTCAGAAGAGAGAGAGAAAATATGAAAATATTACATAATATGCAATTGATTCTTACTGTGAAATTTAATACTTTTACAGTATATTTTGCTTTTGAAACAACTTCAATTTTCTGCAAAGTTGCTATGGTGACAAATGTAATTCTAGTTAAAATATAATAAAAATCCTCTTTTCCTTAACCACAAATTTCTGAAGAGCTCAGCATGGTTTCATAAGTGCATTTTTATCAAAATGAACGCATGGTGCCCTTTCTTCTGAGCAATTCTATCCATAGCAAAAGTGTAAATGGAAGTCTGACCTCTGTTTTGTCACAGAAGCTTAAGATGTCTTACTCAAATTATTACAATTTTTTAACAGAGTTAAAATACCATGTTGTGCATTTTTTTTAATGAAAGCTCTGGGCAGACCCAAGGGAACAATGTACAGCAAAAAGAAATGGAGCAGGGTTTGCTTCATCCTTTTCTGGTCATTCTGGTGAAGTAGAACAACACTGAAGTCAGTGTGACCCTTCCATTTCAAGCTGCTCTTCCCTGCACAGCAGGCCCATCGCACATGGCTGGAGGCAGTTGCAGCAGGCTGCTTCAATTCATGCCAGCAGGCCATCGATGTTGGGCATCAGTACAAAGACAGCCTGAGGCAACTTTTGCCTACGTCCATGCCTTTTGACTCGTGATAAGCACAGACAGATGGGAAGATATGATCTATATCTCTCTTTAACTGTAAGTGAGTGTTGGACCAAATTGTGGTCCTTTCTTGTGTATGAATCACTCTGCCATGACAGGGTCTCACTTTACAGAGGAAAAAGTTGCATTATGAGAAGGGGACTGTAGCAAACCAGCATGTACAAATTCCATCTTCCAAAATGTTTAGATGGCAGATTTTTTATGCAGTTTTCCTAAGCACATTGTATTGTCCAGGAGATAGAGATGCTCTTCATTTCTTTCTCCTTTGATCCTACAGGGGGAGAAGAATATTAACACCCTACCAAGAACTTGAGACAGAATGTAAAGCCAGGTGTAGCCAACTCCAAGACAAAGTGTAAGCACTTAGAGCAATCTTATTGCTCCCTGTGCTGTGTTCAGGGGCAAGTATTATGTGATGCCAGCAGCATCACTCCCAACTGAGCCTGGAGTCTTGGAATGAATCTTTCCTTCCTACAGAGCAGGTCTGAGTATCAGCAGAGCAGCTGAGACGTGCTACAAGCATGCTCCTATGCTGCCCTTTAGCTGCATCCCATTCATATTGTAGAAGAGAGCTTCATAGGATGTGCTGTTTCACCTTCAGCACTTAAGGTCATCATAGGGTTTCAATGCCTGGGATACCTCTGTTCAGCTGTAGTCAAGATTGGATCTTGGATAATTTAATGGAAGGTAAGTTAAACTTCAATCTCAGCCCCTGACTATGGATTAATGTACAACAGAAATGCTGCTGTCCTGCTGGAAAATCAAAGAGCTGCTGTGGGACATGCTGGAGAGAAACAGCAGAAGGAAGACATAAGGTCCTTGAAGTTTTGCTGATAAATTTAGATCTTAATTTTAAAAACTGAAAGATAAAATATGAATAAGCTGCTGATTTTGTTTCAAGGCTCTGCTTTTAGATGATAAGGTTTGCATTAAAATGCGAAAATACTTCTTTTAATTGCGTGGGATGAAGTGACACAGCTTCTTTCTAAAAATATAGGAAGAATGTTGATGACAGGAGAAAATACTGAAAGACTGACTTGTTTTAACATCAAAAGTTAAAGCTATAATTCCTGAAAGATAATCCTTCGTTTATTTGAGATTCAGAATTAAACAGAATCATGTTACCTTAGATGTCAAAATCAGTATTTTGTTTGTTTTCCTGGTTACAGTTCTCTATGAAATTCATTTAAGGGTAATTTGCTTTGCTTTGACTTATCTTTTTCTCTCTTGTCTTTCTTTTCAGGTCCACTCAAATCAAAACATACTCTTGGGATAATGCCCAGGTTATTTTGGTGGGTAACAAATGTGACATGGAGGATGAGCGGGTAATCTTCACTGAGAGAGGAAAACATTTAGCAGAGCAACTTGGTAAGGAAAAAAAAATGACAGAAGCTTTATGACTGCTTGTAAGAATGTTTGGAGTAATCTCATTAATTGCTATTGTGCTTGTAATGAAGTGTTTACAAAACACTCACTGTACAGAAATACTGCTATACAGCACCTCCTTTTTGTTTCTGCAGACTGAGGTCTAGGTTGTCTGTGATATCACTAAAACATTAATAACATTAGAATATATGTGTCTGGGCATGACCTTATGCAGAACTGTGACGTGTCATCTAAAAGCAGCCATAAGATCAGTGCTGGCTCAGAGGCTGACTTAGATTTAAGACATCTGATAAAACATTACTATGCTGCTCCTTAGATAGGACTAAAGTTATCAATTTTGTGATAAAATTATGTATGTGTCTGTATTATATAATATAATATGTCCGGGTAGTTATAGCCATAGGCAGATATATTTTAGTGAAGGGAGATGTAAAACAAAAAAAATATGGGGAGGATAGGCTATGGAAATATTTTACTCTAAATATCAAATAGACCTCCTGAGAAGATAAACGTGGATTGTGGTTTTCACAGCCAATAGTCCCAAACAGAAAGACTTTAATCACCAACTCCCAGTGCAGAACAGGTAGTTCACACAGGTAAATAAGATGACCCTCTGCTTCACAAAGTCTCTTTCTAGGAGGATGTCCCCACAAAAAATTGCAGAACATCTCTGTTCTGTCTGGTCCTGCTCAGCAGTGACACTTTTTCATAATGGCAAGTGTTTTGAGGCTGAGACTGGCCACACTGTGACGGAAAGGTTCCTAAAGCATACTATCCAGCCTGCTTTTTCTCCCAGTCTGAATCTCTCTGGAGAGCATGCACAGCAGTTTGGCAAATCAGACCTTGCCAGTACTGGAGATTAATTTCTGCGCTGTACCAGGCATGAGATTGTTAATATATTTAGATCTGACTGTGGGAAATGAACAGTCTGGCTTCTTCTGGGCAGTGCATGTAACTGATCTCCTATTCACTATTGTATACTATAAATCCTAGAATTGTTTATCCCACCAAATAACTTCATCAGGATGGCTAGTCTTCATATCATTTCTAATTCATTAAGCATTACATGTGTGTACGCCTCATAGGTGTCAATAAAAAAAATTACCAGGAATTAAATAGTCCTTGAAAAGTGACAGAAACAATTTAGCAACACGTTATATCCAGAAAAAATGCCAACATTTTTGAAGAACTGAGATTTTAATACTGTGTGCAATAAAAACAAAATGGTTGCCATAGCATGCTACC